TTTGAGAAAAGACAGTAATCTAGTTATTTGTTGGTAATGGCCCATTTGAATTGATATTGACCTTCAATACAAACCAAAATGGATTAATAAGTCATTTGATTGACTGAAATGATATTCTCTTTCAACGCATTAGCTGATAGTTCATTTTTTTTTTCCTCCTTCAGTATTAAAAATGAAAATGATTTTTCTTCACAAATTTCTTAATCAAAGACATGAGAATAGAAGAAATTAACATTGTGAAGTGCTTGGACACGGAACATAAATGGATGAACATTAAATTGCCACCAGTTCCACAGACTTGGCTGCCTTCAGTTTTCTTTCTGCAAGCGAAAAGAGAAATTTAAAAAAATAAAAGGAGACACAACAAATTGTGAAGGGAACTATTCCAAGACCATGCACAACCATGAAACTGACAAATTTTTAAGCCCCTATCTGTTTTCCTAGATTTCACTCTCCCTGGTAAGTGAGGTTCCAGCATGAAAGAGGAGAGAGATAGAGACAGAACATTATGGGGTCAATTGCCCATTTGACCAACTTACCTCCAACTAAATATCAGCGAACAAAGGGAGCCTTAGTATCATAGCTTGTTGGGTTTTCCAATTTTCTATCACCAAATGCATGGAATGGATGCTTGTAGTAGGAGTGTCAAAACAGTACAACTGTATTGATTGCAAGTCGCGATCAAAGTGTGGTATCAAACAATCCAGATCAGATGGACATAATATTGTAAGCACGTTGAATGAGCACTTGGAAAATTTTTTGACACTTATTCTTTAAAATACCCTCAGCTTATCCTGGAAAAATATTAAAACCTACTTTTAACAGATGTCACAATATTTATCAAGTGCCCATTGAACGTGATTACTATATTGTGCCTAATAGATCCAGTCAAAAAGCCTGAAAATCAGAGAGATCGAAAATTCTACCTTGATTAAACAATACATAAGGCTGAGTTTGGAAGGAGTACAAAAACAAATATATACAGTCCTAACACATAGAAAAATAATACAAAATATAAGGTTTTGTACTCTACAAATTTGTATTTATATTTTTTCCAAACTAAGCTAAGCGCACCAATAATTGTAGAGAGAGAGTGTGTATAAAACAGAATAGATTTCGTTATGGTTAAGAGAAAAGAGAGCCAGCAAGCATCCTGTCTAATCTTTAATTTTCATCAATGATGGTAATGGGCCAAGGGAAGGAAGCGTATAATACAGGGATATCCCCCCTTTACTTCCAAGTCAAGATGTAACAGGAGGATGGAGGACCACCACAACCCTATTTCCTGCGAATATTCCAAATAATTCAAACACATTCTTAACTTGTTCTTCTCATTAATTCACTGTGTTTTATTACTGGTACTGGTAATAGTAGGGTCGAACCTAGTGGGTTGGGCCATTTGGGATTTGGGCTTTCTGCCCTAATTATAGGCCCATTTGAAAGGATTTTCTATCAATAATCACTGGCCCATTTTGTTGGATGCCCTAACACTAGTGTCTAGCAGAGGTTAGCTTTAACACCGCTACGCATGCATTCAATATCCATGTTGGGCCGTTTGCATGCTACTACTGTCTACAGGTGAAGGTGATTGTTGTTTGTACCAATGTAGTCGGTCTGGGATAGGATAAAAGCCGAAATGCTCAATGGGTGACGGTTTTACCCGCTAACCAGTCAGTTGGATCGTTCGGCCGATGAAAACGTACCATCAAAGCTTAATGGGTCACACCTACGCTTTGGTTAACCGAACCATGGAGTGTTTCATAAAACCAAATCGGTATCATTGGTTTTTGAAAATCCCAAAACCAAAACCGTAACGAATCAACTGATTAATCTATTTTATAATATATTATATTTTATAAATAAATATGTATATATAATATATTATAAAATAGATTATTATAAATTGACTTTTAGTACTGAACTAATTGATTCAGTTAACTGCATTTTTTTATTCGATTTTTTCAGTTCCAATCTTTTTTTGGGGTTTTATGAGCACCCCTAGTCACACCGGTTCAAGACACAATTTGTGCCTTCTATATAAGTTGTTAGTCAGGCTCAGTTTGGAAGGTTTTCAAGCTAAGTTCCCATCATTGAGACATGTGGATTTTTCAAATTCAGATATATGGCATTTTCTAAGAATTTGCTGTTAAAGCCCATAGCCCACTACCAGGCTACAACCCCCCACCATTTAAACACGTAGCCTTCTCATTTTTTTGGAAAGTTAGACACGTGACACTTTTTTAGAATTTGTTGCTAAAGCCACAATCCACTACCACCATTTTCAATCTATTTTAAAAAAAAATGTAGAAAATGGAAAGTGGTTATCCACAACCACTTCTGCTTATATTCTATCAATCCCAGTTAATCATTAACCCTATACATATCATAACAAAAGAAAACTATCCATATTTTAATAATTATTGAAAAATTATTTTTGGAAATAAATATTTCCTAAAATTTTAACATTATTGATTTCATAAAGCAAATTTAATATTATTGATTCTCCGTACTTAATACAGGGTTATTCAATAGTACAAATATGTAAAGTATAAATACATACAAAACATAAGGTTTTACACTATATATTTGTATTTGTACTCCAAAAGCAGTACAAATACAAATATGTACAACGTAAATACATACAAAATACTACAAAATATAAAGATTTTCACTCTATATATTTGTTGAGAGTGGGATTTGAACCCACGCCCTTTCGGACCAGAACCTTAATCTGGCGCCTTAGACCAACTCGGCCATCTCAACTTTATTGACAGAGTTTACTGAATAATCTTATATTAAATCCTCGTCATTATATGTTCCAATGTTTAACCCACTTTGGCAAGCAAGGTTTTGCTGATAACATTCCACGCTAATATTTATACATGAAATGCTCTAAATCAAATATGCAATACATGGGATGCTCTACATGAAATAATGGACTGGGCCAAAACAAGTTCAATCCTCTAATGGACTGGGCCAAAACAAGTTCAATCCTCTAATGGACTGGGCCAAATGCAAATACGCAATACATGAAAACGAGTTCAATCCTCCAATATATGGGATGCTCTAAATCTCTTCGCTACTACTATAGTGTCTCTTTGGCCCACGTGTCAGAAGTTTCCAGCAATAGCTATCAATTTAACGGCCCAACTGGTGTTAAGAGTGATGTATGGGTGCCCTTAAATTGGAGGGAAATATTTGGGTTCTCCAATGATAAATTTGTGTATTAAATTAATACAAAATATGAAGATAAATTACAAAAATGAATTGTTGTAATGAAAAAAAACAATAGATGAAACTCTCTTTGATTTTGCTCAATCACATAAGCAACCTTTGATCAATGATCAAATTTGATTAAGACAAGAATTATTGGTGTATTTTTCGTACTTCTTGAAAAAATGATGTAGATTTTCCACTATGGGCTTCATGTTTGATCAATTGTGATATGTTGTGAAAAAAAAATTATCTAAGAAAGGCCTTTCTTGATGGTTTAATTTCTCTTAAACTCTTGAATCCAAGGGAGTGTTCTTTTTCTGGATTTTGAGAGGGGGGAAAGTTGGTCAATGGGATTAAACCAAGAATCCCATTTTTTTTTCAGACTTATGTGGGGATCAAGGAAAGTTTATTTACCCCATCTCCTAGGTGGTTAAATAACTTTCCCACTTGGGGGAAAAGTTGCTAACACTTGAATGGGACAAAAATGCCCCATTTAATAATGGATTTTTATGGCTAAAATGGTCATTGCCTTATTTATATGGGAAATAAAAGAACATGGGTAAATACATTTACTCAAGTAAGTCTTTCCTGAGAAACACTTACCTGGGTAACTTAACGAAAAGCAAACATGCCCAAGTGTAAAGTAGAAAGGGATAGGAAATTTTTCTCTTCCTTTTCTCCCTTGAAATGAAGTTGGAGTAAACTTGGTTTTATAGTTTGCAATTCCAAAGTGTTGATTTTGCAAGAGTGAAATAGCACTCAAATATGCAAGTGAAAACCGAAAAAAAAGCCACTTTCTCCCTAGATTTTTTTTTATGGCCTAGAATTAGGGTTACCATCTCGGTCCACTTTACTAACCAATTCCATGTAAGTTGAATGTCAGTTACGTTAACTCTTGAACATGTTGTGTAAAAAAATAACACAAAAAAACTCTTGAACATGTTATATATTATATAAGAATTAGCAATTTTGCCAAAAGATCCACACTATTATAATAGGACATGAGCCTAATTAGACTTGATACATTGGAATCCTTGGGCCATAGATCATGTCTACATTAACTTAGGCCCAAAACCTATGGAAGCATATAATAACTTCTTGAGTTCTTTGGCTTAAAAATTCACATGTCTACAATTATAGATTCAATATTTATTTTTTTGGGTAATGCATTTACATTAAAATTAATCCTCTAAATATAAAACATGTAAAATTTGGGCACAGTGATTTAACGGAAATGCACGGTTTGATGTACCAAACATGTAAAATTTGGGCACAGTGATTTGAGTTACCTAACGTATCCAAGTCTACATTTGGGCACGGTTCGAACAGTTAACCGGCCGGTTCAGCGGTTTGCTAACCAAAATCAGCGGTTTTGGGGGAAAAAGCAGTTTTGGAGGAAAACGGAGGTGACCGGTTCCCGGTTTTTCCAGTCCGACCGTCCGGTCCAGTCCAGTTTTGAAAAGAGTGGTTTAAACACTCCCAAAGACAATGGGTTTTATTGGTTCAAAAAGTGAATACTATTTAGGGTCCGTTTGATTTGTAGAAATAATTTAGAATTATAATTGGAACGGATCATTTCAATTCCAACTGTTTGGTTGAATGGATTTGAAATTCCATTCTTATTCTTGATGAAATGACATTCCCCTCATCCCCTTTCCCTTTTTTGAGAATGAAATTCTAATATAGCTGATTTTAATTTCCATTTTGTTTCCTGTTTGAACCAAATAAACTATGTCAATAGATCATTCCAATTTTGATCGTAAGGGATTTCAATTTGGATTTAGGTTCCAATTTCAACTATGAACCAAATGGAACTTTGGTACTTGCACAACTTCTGACTTTTCAGAACCATGTAGTCTATAGATGGTCTACCTTCATTTGCTCGTTTGAAGGCCCAAAATCAAGAAATTTGGTAAAAATCTATTAGGCATTGCCAGTCCTTACAATTAACAAGATGAAGTATTCTATTGTATCAAATGGGTATTTCTTCTTATCATGCTTCAACGCCCCGAACGGCTGAACCCACAGGGCCCACCATTTGTTTCTTTGAATATGTTTTGTTGGGATGTCAATCCTAAATCACAACAAGAGGCTAAATATGGATGATAATTTTTCCCTTTTTTCTGATCCTCACATGGACCCGCTTAGGGATGGGGATGATTTTCCCCTAAGTCATAGGGATGGAGCGGAGATAGAGAGAGTACTCTCTGCCCTGAGGGTTTTCAATCCCCACCTCATAGGATCTATGACTGCATATATGTATGTATGTATGTATATTAGTATTTAAAAAAATATGATTGAATATATTTGGATCATTTTTTAATATGATTGTAAATTTTAAATATTTTATTTTTAGTTTTTCAATAATAAAAAATAAAATCAAAATGATTAACATCATAAAAAAATCATGGGGAATGAGAATCCCTGTGGGGATGGGGATGGGGATAACCTTGCCCCTGCCAGGAGGGACGGGAACAGGGATGAGGATAGGGATTTTTGCGGGGATGGGGACTCTCCATCCCTGCCCTGCCCCCTCCACCCCCACCCCATTGTGTAGCCATTCAGAAGATAAACAAAAAAGAGTGACCATCTCAGGTATTAGGTCATGCACATTAAGAAAATATTGAAGTTTCAAGAGGCATGCATATGATATTATCAACAATTATTTTTTTGTGAAGTGAAATAGTAAATTTATCAGCCTAAAATACTTGATCTATATTTTTGCCCCTTTTATGATGAAGATTTTGTTTCTTGAATAAAAAACGCCCTACTTCTGGGTGGCCGGCTCACCTGGTTTTTGACTTAGCCAAATTAATGGCTTGATTACAGACCCAACACCTTTTACATTGAATTGTTTTATTTATTTATTTTTTGGGTAATCCATTTACATTAAAATTAATCCCTTAAATATGTGACATCTAAAATTTGGGCCCACTTATAGAGAGACACATAATCCCATGTTTGATGTATATATTTACAAAATTTTAATGGGCAGAGATTATTGGATGATACGTGCTAATAGGATCGATTTTTGGAGGAATATTTGGTGATGTACATGCAAGACAGTTTCATTTTGTTGACTTGAGAAGGCATATTTCATTTACTAGCTCAGCATTCTTATTTATAATGCTCTACCATATGGATAGATTTAACCGAATTGTCACCCGATCAAGATTTCAGGTTCGGTTCAGTTAAGACCTATTAGATGGTCAAAATTTGTTGACTTGGTTAAGAATTATTCAATCTAGATGGTTCAACTATGAACCCATTAGATCTGATGACCGGGTCATGGGTTGCACATTGAATACATGTAAACTTTTAGAGGTTATAACTTTGCACTTCGATGCTTGATTGGGGTGATTTTTTTTTTTTTTTTTACTTTAGGTAACATTTTGAGATCTATGCATCCCAAGGAGATGTAGGTGCCTTGCCCCAATATTTTCGCAAAAAAATACCTTTTTTGGTCTCAAAATTGCAATTTTTAATATTTTTTATAAATAAAAAAATTAAAAACATATAATAAATATAAAATAATACATATAACATATCTAAAACATATTTATACATTATATATATATATATGTTGACATGGCATGGTCTGAACCGTTCGACCAGGCCGATCGAACTAGTGACCTACGACTTGGAGGCAAAAACAGTTCAGCCTAGCTGTTTATTGACAGGTAGACGCCACATAAGCAGAACAGTAAATAAACACCTTGTTGTTGGGGGAAACGTTAAAATGAATCTTCCTCCAACGGTTGAATTGCACATAAACCAAGATAAACATTTATTGGATAAATAGGCTTGCCAAATAACACTTTGGTATAAATGCTTACATGGCAATGAACTAGCACCATTTATCAAAGAAATGGAAGCCATACCAAACACCATCATAGTCTTTCTTCTGTCTCAACAGTAGACTCACTCATTTCCGGTTTCAATCGATTTCATTGGTTCAAAGGAATTGAATCCTACTTATGCAACTTTTGACCTTTGAGGACCTCAGATTTGTGACCAATTATCAACACTGTCTGAGCAAGTCATTACAGTCACACATTGGGAATATCTCTTCATGAATGATAAAGAAGATGTTCCCAATGTGCAACTGCAGTGACCCATTGGGACAGTGTTGGAAAAGTTCTATTGGTAGTAGATCCCTATCCTTGTAGTTTATAGATGGGCCTCCTTTTTTTTAGTTAGCATCTGCCCCCCACAAATGCCTCACAGTACATACCAACTGTGTATTCAGAGCATCTCTCCCAATAAAAATATGGAAAATGTTCCCGGTACACAATTGGGATGTGCTGTGGGGCACTTGTGGGGTGCCCTTTGGGGCGCAGATGTGAATTCCCTTTTTTTTTTAATTTTCCAAACATGCAGATGAGCTGTTTTTTTTTTTTCTCATTAAAATACACCAGTAATCAGTACAGTATGAGGCCCAAATGGAATCCACAGTGAATACTCACGTAGATTTACATGATTTTGTCTTCAATTAATCCGAACTCCCTTAGATGGACAAAAATCCAGAAATTTGGTAAAAATCGAACAGTCCATTGCCGGCCCTTACAGGTTCCTTACTAATATGGAACCGGTTGTCCTGCCTTTGGTGATAATATGACCTCATGATTTTCAGCAAACATTTGCAAGATTCTTTTGTTTTATTATTTGTCAATTCAAGGCCCTGAACCGCAGGGCCCATCATTCGATTCTTTGGATGCAAGACACTAAGAAGCAAATCGAGCAAGTAATCGAATCGGATACGGAAATAACGTAGAGGTTTGATGGAGATCCCCAAGGTAACACAACTAATGGATAGATTTAATGAAATAAAAATTTCTTTTCAAAGATTATGACTTGTGAGAGCACTAACCGGTTTTTAGGTTTTTTTAGATGGGGATTAATGGGTGAGAGATAGGATGTACAGGAAATACGGACTCCCATGTGAAGTAGTTGAACTGAAAAGTATACAACCTCTTCAACCATTAAAGAGGTTGTATGCTCTTTAATGGTTGAAGCTGGAATTGGGCATGGGTTAGTTCGGTTTGGTTCTATATTCTAAGTTATTTGGCCAATTGAACCAATTTGATCGGGTTAGGAAGTTAGTCACCTAAAATTGACCGACTAATTGTAAAAATCGGTTAATTTGGGTTGTATTGATTTGGATCGATTTTTTGTTTGATTGGTTGGTTGAAAAATTTTAAGTTTAAAAGGTAAATTTAATAAATTTAAAAAATAAAATTTATAATATAAAATATTTTAAACTAGAAAATATGAGAATTTTCTCACTTCTATATTAAAAATATAAAATATTAATATATATCTATGATTGGATTGATTCGGCTTTACTCGATTCACAAATAATCAAACCAAAACCGAGTTTACATCTCATGTTAACATAAAAATTAAACTGAAACCTACCAAAATAATTAGAAAACCGACAAACTCGGATCGGATTGGTTGGTTTCATAAATTTGATAAACATCCCTGGATTACTAATTAAATGGCCCTAAAGAAAATATTGGAGCTTCAGCAAGACTTTGATATGTAGAAACATGTATATGATTTAGTGAACAATTAGTTCTTTGTGAAATTAATATGAAAAATTTTCAGACTGAAACATTTGATCTATGTTTTGGCCCCTTCTACAACGAAAACTTTGTTCTCTTTGTGTCCATTTCTTGCAATCTGAGCATGTTCGATGAAAATAAAAATAACAGAAAAACCCCTAAATTGCAGGATTGCATTGAAACATTTTAGACCATCCGAAATTGCAGGTTTCATATTATTATAGAAAATAATAAATTAGTGGGCCATTTCTTATCATTTTCATATACATATTGTGTCAGCATAGAAACAAAATAAATAAATTAAAGAGATTTGATGCCTGAAAAACAATTGAAGCAGAGGATATAAGAATCAAATTAGTCTCTAGTTTTCAATAAAAGGGGCCCCTTTAGTCTTATCAAGTAGCTGGCTAGAGCTATATTAATATAAAGGGTCTGGGGGATTGTATTTATTTTAAGGAGGTTGATATCAAATAAATAAAAAACTCCTACATTATGGTAGGTTGCTACATTGGATCGATTCGTGAGGGGAATTTCATAGGATCAACTGATAAAACTGAAAAACAAAAGATGAAGGGGAAAGAAATCATACTTGAGTTTTAGGGGTACGAGTTGGGTATCCGAGTTGGAGAATTTACAGAAAAGTAGGGATAGGCCTGAACGTAGATTTCTGAATTCTACTGCACAGTTATAAATATTTAAAATGTCAAAACCCTCAATTTTATACACCAATGTCCGCCTATGAATTGGCATCAATTCTGAGCTGGCACCCACCTCAACTGTATTTTGAGCCTAAAAATTCTGACCTTTGGTTGAACTGTCATTCTACCATAAGAATTTACAATGTTGGTTCTGGGCTTTCGGGCCAAGTCCATTTGACAAATCTCAACCCGAGCACATCCAAGTTGCATCTCTAACGATTTCTTTCTTTCACTTCCAAAAGTGAAGCTTTTCAAATTCATGCTTAGTTTTTAACATTAAATTATAAAGTTATAAAGAGGATTTTTGAGTTTATAGATCAATTATCTCTTTGGTTGAGACTGTTTTGAGTTAAAACAATCATAAAATGTTTCCACTTGAAACATAAGCCATAGGGTATTTCTCACCAAACAGGATTCAAATACAAAAAGCGGTGATTGTGTTTAAACTTTAAGGAATTAACAATGTTTAACTCAAACTCAAAGAATTAGTATTATAGGTTGAAACACCAATGGTACTAACAATGTCAATAGTTGAGCCAATCAGGACTCAAAACTTGCAAATTGCAATCACCATTTGGCTCTTATACAAATTAATTGAGCTCATAAAAAAAGAGAATCATATGGTCTGTTGTCTGGAAATAGATATATCAAGCCTGGCTCATAAATAATTTTTTTGTAACGATCGACAAAAGCATGCATCATCAATCAATCAAAACAGTATTAATCATTTCATTCAATTTAATTTGGATGGTATTATGTGATTTGGCCAATACCATTCTGTCTTGGAGGTCTGGCTTGATGGTGATGGGCATCATTGACAAAAGAGAGTTACCTTAAAGCCATCTTGTGTTTGTGTGCAACAAAACAGATAACTTGGTCACAACTCACAAGCCTGAATCTTTCATTCCAATTGGTTGATGATTAAGACAATTACTTTCTATTCACAATATACATACATATGTAATGGATGGTAGAGAATCCATCACAATAGGGAAGAGAAGTTATTACATTAAATAGAAAATGACAAGCCCAACAACCGATCAGCTTCACCTAATTATCAGATTTTGTATGCTTGAAATTCAGATACAGACCTTCATTAACTATCTCTATATACATAAAAGCACAAAATCCCTTGTACAAGAGTCTGGAACGAATAAGGATTTTCTATCTACCAACAAAATGTGGCCAAGGAGGAAGCAGCTTCTGGGGTTGCATCAATTTCTTCTAGGGTTCCTTCTGTTAAATGGCCTCCTAAGTTGCAGAGCTTCGGTTCGTCATAGATTTGTGGTAAGTTAATTATCATTACATACTACCAACTACTCTGTAATTAGATGGAAGAGTGCTTCGACAAAATGCAGGCAAGTGTTATTGTATATTCCTTGCACAAGTTGATGCATGAGAAATCATCAATCTGCAATGATATAAACAACACAGACTACTTGTGAATTTATGTATATATCTATGGATGATATTCATCACAAGATTTTAACGTAGGTTAAAGAAGCCCAGTACACAAGGCTGTGCAGCACGAAGAACATCTTGACTGTAAATGGAAAATTTCCAGGGCCAACTATACATGTTCATAAAGGAGAAACCGTGATTGTCGACGTCTATAACAAGGGAAACTATAATATCACCCTTCATTGGTAGGAGCTCCAGACAACTTCTTCATGCATCTACATCTATGTTGTTCTCTCTCTCTCTCTCGTACAGATGACAGAAAGGGAGGTTGATTTGCAGGCATGGAGTGAGGCAACCGAGGAATCCATGGTCAGACGGGCCTGAATATGTGACACAGTGCCCCATTCAAGCCGGAGGAAAGTTTTGCTACAAGATTATATTTTCAAAAGAAGAAGGGACACTGTGGTGGCACGCCCATAACGACTGGAATCGAGCCACAGTCCACGGGGCCATCGTCATTTATCCCAAACATGGAACTACTTATCATTTCCCCAAACCTTCTTCCGAACAACTCATCATTCTAGGCATGTACCGACTACTATATATTTGTATTGATATTTGGCTCATTTGTAGGGAAATTCCACCAATTAATCTCTTCATTTCAAGGCTACCCACCTCGGTTTCCGACTATTTGATCAAGTAATGCACAAAATGAAATTGAGCTGAGACTTATGAGATTTGGGTCGAGCTGAATTCAAACTCAAATCTTTAGCTTGAATCAAGATTGAGCCTCTTAATTTATTGACGAATTGAGTTCGAATAACCAAGTATTCAGCTCGACTTGTCTCTGAATCCACTCCTAAATGAAATTGCTTTCTTTTTCAATGGAGGCCACCTAAGCTGCCATATACTTAGAGATTCCTGTAAACTCAATCGACCTAATCAACCTTGGAATGAAAGCACAAAGATCTCAAATGTTGGGTTTAATGGTGATGCAGGAGAGTGGTGGAAGGCAGATGTGATGGAGGTGCTTCAGGAAGCCAGTAAAACGGGAGGTCAACCCAATGCCTCTGACGCTCTCACCATAAATGGACAACCAGGCGATCTGTTTCCATGCTCAGCACCAGGTAGAAAAGCTTTAATTCCGCCAACTTCATTCAAGGGATCCGACTTTTGTCAAATCCATGACCCAGCCCAATACTATTACTTACCTCATTTTTATTTGCTTATTTACAATTGGAATTGGAATTGGAAGATATATTTATTTGTTTATTATTTAAAAGTGAGTGTGAATCTCACCATAAATGGACTTGTATCACATTTGGGCCCAAAATCAGGCTATGCACTTGGGCACTAATAGAGATGATCCAGCCCATAAGAATGGGCCCACTACAACTTCTTTGTAGTTTGTAGATGTTGTATAATTCTTACAGTTTTCCTTCTTTATAGAAACATTTAGAATTCTGGTTGAGCAAGGCAAGACGTATCTACTCCGAGTAATCAGTGCAGCAATGAACGACATTCTCTTCTTCTCCATTGCACAACATAGCCTAACAGTAGTGGGAACAGATGCGAGCTACACTAAGCCATTAACAAGAGACTACATTCTGATTAGCCCAGGCCAGACCTTCGACGTCTTATTACAGGCTGATCAACCTCCAAATCAGTATTATATAGCTGCCAGAACTTATTCAACTGGCCAAGGTGTTAGCTTCGATAACACAACGACCACAGCAACAATCCAGTACTCATCAGGCAATTACAATGCATCTGGGCCGCCCCCTTCGCTACCTGTTCTCCCTTATTACAATGACACAAATGCTGCAGTCAACTTCACAGGCGCCCTTAGAAGCTTGGCAAATGAAGAACATCAGATTGATGTCCCATTAGCTGTAGACACTCGCATTGTCACAACAATTTCCATTAACACACTTCCATGCTCGAACACCTCGTGCATCGGCCCCAATGGGACACGACTGTCTGCTAGCATGAACAACATAAGTTTTGTGAACCCATCAATTGACATACTAGAAGCTTACTACAATCGGATCACAAGGGTTTATGGAACAAATTTTCCGAGTCGGCCACCGTTTTTGTTCAATTTCACGGCCGATTCCTTGCCGCAGAATCTACGGACACCAAAATTGGGTACTGAGGTGAAGGTACTGGACTTCAACTCCACAGTAGAACTTGTGTTTCAAGGGACTAACCTGGTTGCAGGAGAAGACCATCCAATGCATCTACACGGATACAGCTTCTATATGGTTGGATGGGGTTTTGGAAATTTTGACAAACATATGGACCCCAAGAGATATAACCTTGTGGATCCTTCAGAACACAACACCATTTTAGTGCCCAAGAACGGATGGGCTGCCATTCGATTCCGGGCCGACAATCCAGGTAGGCTTTTATTCTCTACAGCCCACCATTTTATTTGAATTTTAGTTTAAGAGAGAGAGAGAGAGAGAGAGAGAGAAGCAGAGGTCATTGACACTGAGTTTGATCATTGATGGGCTGTGGTGTTTCGACTTTCAGGGGTATGGTTCATGCATTGCCATTTGGATCGTCATCTTATTTGGGGTATGAACACTGTGTTCATAGTGAGAAACGGTGCACAGGAAGAAGAACGTATGTTGCGTCCTCCTCCAGATATGCCTCCTTGTTGATTCCTTTGCAATTTCTTGGGACATCTCCAGATCTCCTTCGTTTGTTGGGTTCTTTTGGATCTGAGTTTACAGAATACTACATACATCCTTTTTGCACTTGGGCCTGTGGTTTGGGCGACATTGGCCCATTCCTTTTAATAACCGCATTAAAAAAGCATCTCATTCTACATAGATCCAAATGAACATGTTTGGATGAATTTTACACTTATCGCCTCGTTGTTTGTAGTGTAACTTCATTTGTAATAATACAAATGCATGAAAGTACAAGTGAAAAGAATGCAAATTCTGGTTTCCCCTTTCATTTTATGTTTTGTTTTACTTAGGGAAGCAAGCACATCCAATCAGATTCAAATAAGGGTATATCTGAATCTGATAGGATCTGATAAACATGGATCTGAATTTGAATCTAATGAAGAAATCGGATTTTTGGATCTGATCCAATTCAATTTGTTTTTTTATAAAAATTAATAAATTGTTAAAAAATAAAATATAACAATTTAAATAAAGAAAAACAAAATCTACAAGTATATTTTCAACTATTTTCATCATATATATACATATTTTTTATAAAAAGATAAATAATATAAATAATTTATAAAAATATAATATAAATAATATATTTATAAATAAATAAGTAATATATATCAGATCGAATATTTTCTCCGATTCGAAATGGGACTATCCGAATCCAAAAATACAAGATCGAACTTTGAATTGATCCAATCCATTTGAACCCCTTATTTAACTTCACCTGAACTGCATAAATATAAACCACAAGATCCAAGTTGCCCTCGAAGAGACAATCCCTGCGAGAAAAATCCTGAATTGTGGCTCACAAAGTTAGCCCGAGCCTTAGACTAGAGTAATTTAGCTTAAGGTTGAGATACATTTAATCTTGGTTTGTTTAAATATTTGTCAATTTATGCATGTTTAATTTTAGGTTTTGGGCCTCTACTTGTGGGCTTTATATGAGGAATCCCAAGCAGAAGAAAACCTGTTTTCATCTGCTTGGGCCTGGGCAGAGGCTTTGTTTGATTTTTGAACAGACCAAAACACAAATTTCGACCAAATACTATTTTCATGGTGAAACACCAGAATGTTCAGTTGATGAATACATCCTCAGTTCCTCACACAAAAACCTCCCTTAAAGTTTCTGACAATCATAAAAACCTCCCCTTTATTTTCACTTTAACGAAAACCTTTCCTATACTTTTAAAGAAATCAACAAAAACCTCCATTCCGTTATTAACACAGATGGAAAACGTTAGACCTTTGCATCAATATTTTCAATAGCCATTTTACCCTTTCAAGTGACGCTATTTCTTTACACTTTGACTCGTTCTCTCCCCCATCTTCAAAAGCCACACTCCCCCGTTCCCCACTTCGTCTCTCTCTCTCTCTGAGCTTTCAAATGCCCAATCTCCCTTGAGTTATGAAATCTCCGGTAATTTACAGGGGAAAGAATGGGCATAGCTTTTGAAACAGGGGAAAGAATGGATCAAAGTGTGAAAAAAGTTGCATCACTTGACTCCTAGAGAAAGGATCAATAGAGAGAGGGAGGGTAATTTACAAAATGTTTATAAACTAATGTACAAAAGGGTAAAATGGGTATTTGTATGGGTCTAACATTTTCCATGTATGTCAATGATGGAAGAGAGGTTTTTGTTGATTTCTTTGAAAGTATAAAGGAGGTTTTTATTAAAGTGAAACTAGAAGGGAGGTGATGAGGGTGAATTTGGCCCTCCAGTGAAATTGTGACACCTGGCACCTCATGCAAAACAAGTGCAGCCTCTTGACGACTGGGCAACTCGGCATAGGCAGCTCGGTACAGCTCGGGCAGCTCGGGTAGCTCGGCATAGGCAGCTCGGCACCTTACAGGTAACTCGGCATAGGCAGCTCGCCACAGGCAGCTGGTCACTCCGCAGGCAGCCTGGCGTCTTACGAAGAGCTCGCCACTTAGGGGCAGCTCGGCACTTATAGGCAGCTTGGCACTTAGGGGCAGCTCGACGTATCACAGGAAGATCTCCTGCCTGACAACTGTACCTGACAGATCCAGAGACCTACGCCCACGTCTCTCGCTAGGCAGCGCCGTGCCTGCCAATCATGAGAGCTATCCCTTGACTAGCAGAGCCGTACTCCGTAGCAGCCGCCTGCACCCGCCACCTCAGCTCTGAGAGTAACGGCTGCGGCAGGGAAATAGAGGCGATTACGCCTGACTTGACAGAGGCTGTTACGCCTGATTTGACAAGACACCACTATAAAAGGACTCTGACCCCCAAAGACAAGGGGAGAGAATGAAAAAATAGAGGTAATCTTTGCTCTCTAGCTCTCTCATTTCTCTCCAAGCTCCCTACAATCAGAATGCTAATTTAGGCATCGGAGAGTCCCCGCCGGGAAAATACCCCCGGGTCCTTTGATTCAGTTCTCGCAGGTCCCTCAGCTCCCGCCGCCTACAAAGGAGAAGAGATCACCTCATGCAGAGGGAAGTCGGGTTGCGCTACACTAGGGAGCTCCACCATCCCCTGAGTTACAGTGCGCCTAGGAGCAGGTCAAATGACGAGTCCACCAAGGTAGTTCACCATCAGGGAGCTCGTCACCAAGTAGCTCTCCACCAGGGAGCTCGTCACCAAGTAGCTCTCCACTAGGGAGCTCGTCACCAAGTATCTCACCATCAGGGAGCTCATCACCAAGTAGCTCTCCACCAGGGAGCTCGTCACCAGATAACTCTCCACCAGGGAGCTTGTCACCAAGTAGCTCACCACCAGGGAGTTCGCCACCAAGTAGCTCATCACCAGGCAGTTTGCCACTAGGGAGCTCCACCATCCTCTGAGTCACAGGCCACCTGGGAGCAGGTCAAGTGATAAGGTACATAGCCAAAAAATTGGTACGTGACCAGAAACGGTTACATCAGGAGGTTTTTATTATTGTCAAAAACTTTAGGGGAGGTTTTTATATTTGGTTCCGTTTACGTTTTTTCATTCAACGTTTGTACTTTGTTTGCTTGCAAAACCGAAAAAGGTAATAATTAAAACTGTTTATGACAAATAAGCGCCACTAGGCACTACATCAGCATAACAGTGAAAAAACGTCTAACCGTTTGAGAAAGCTTCAAAAAATAATTTCCCTAAATAGTAAATATGCACAAAAACCAAAGTCACATTTTGCTATTCTCGATGCATAAAAAAACAAAAGAGGAGAACTGCTGCAGTGATACTTATATGGCAACGTTTATTGAATAAGTACCCATAATTCCAAACATCGTGCTAATAACTACAGCTTTTTGCTTTTTGGTTGAATGGTTCATCAAGCGATCCAACACTAGACCACTTGATCAAACAAATTCTAAAATCATCTCAAGAAACCACTATAAAAGCTTAAACTGATAAGTAAGATCCCCGAATAGGTTTTATTCTCTAGCAGAAAAAAACCAGCTTTTATATCATTGAACTGGTTCGCAGAACTCTCCTCCTTACTGTTGTTTTTGCCTGTGACTGGTTCATTTAATACAATATACTATTCATCACCAGACGACCTAATTAATGTCTTTTTAGATTCTGGAATGCAACACTTCCCAACTGATGAAACACTGACGTAGTCAACATCTTTATATATAATCAAGCAAACCGTTGATGAAACATACATAGGACATTCAAACAATTAACGAATTAATTAAAACTCTGCCTTTCCTCCGACCATTTTTTTCTTATTCTTCTTCTTTTAATTTTTGCTTTTAAAAAACCAAAGTCATAATGTCAATAAGACAAAATGAATCGAAAGCATTGATTAGTCGGTGCTTACATCCTTGGTCTGTGAAGAAGTGCTCGTCCACATAATATAATAGGGTATGATTAATAAATGAGCAATACTTTTAGGTTGTGTTGTTCAGCTTGAACCCAAAGCACATTCCGGCCACATTCATTCAGATGAGTTCAGGCACCGCCGCACTGCTCTTTTCAGAAAGTTGTGCTCCCCAACCCCGACAGAAGTCAGAAGAGACCTCCATATCTTCCTTCTTTATTAACACTACAAACATATCTGCAACTTGCTAGATTTGCCAACCTTAACTTAATGGCGAGTCATTATCTATTATCCATTTATCTATGCATTAAGAAAATGAAATCTAGGGTTACCTGGATAGAGTATAGAGACCACCCAACCCAAGTAAAGAAAATCATCCACCACCCGGTTTTGATAGGATGTTATTTGATTTGAATAATTTAAACTATATTGGGCCTGGCAGCCCGGGCCCATTTAAATTTTAACAAAATCCAAATATGAATCCACCCAAGTCCAATAGATGGCAGATTAGATCAGCAATCATTGGTTTTAGCATATACTTGGCTGAGTGGGATAGGGGGAGAGGCTGGGAAAAGGTGAAAATAAATCTTGAAATTAAAGCTAAGGCAGGTGTCCACCTAAGGGTCGTTTGACATGGCTAAGATTGCTGAACTAACATATTGTTTTGTATTTTATAGATAAAATAATAAGCCATTCAGTTTAGCGAGATTTCAGCATAGTCTAAAAAAGCATTGTTTTACTCTCTGTTACTTGGATGAATGATAAATTATTGATCCCACTTTTTTTTGGGTAAGTAACCCACCTTTAATCCTACGAGGGTATGAAAGGAATAAAAGGTTGATGGGGTTAATAACAAAGTGCATACAGGGGCCATTAGAAGGTTTTTAAAACTGGATCGGAGTTGAATGGTCCTATTATTTGGTATGAATGAATGGCCTGTTTTAGTAAAAAACGGTCAAAAACCATTATTATCTGGGTTGACGATTCAATGATTCGACCATTTACATTAGGGATTCGCTGACCAAATCAACGGTTTTGGCCAAAAAGCAGTTTTAGAGTAAAACAAAACTAGTCAAGTGACCAGTTCCCAATTTTCTCGGGAACAATACTGGTATGGAGAGCCTATTGCAGCAGTTTAAAGTTTAAACCTGTACATCCTCAATATAAGAGATGTCTTACAACCAACTCTAATGATACTTTAC